TCATCGATATTAGCTCCCCATTTCCCACCAACATCCCCTGCCATACCCCCAAGGAACCATTAATCCAGTGACTATCGCTATAGATAGAGCTATCCTGGATTTCCTAGACAGGAAAACACTGAGCCAAACAAACAAACAAAAACTAACAAGAACAACAGTAAAACAGATAAAAACCAGAAAACAGAGTATGTTAAAGAGCAGAACAAATTTAAATAGATCATAAAGGAGGTCAAATGATAGGGCGCTAAAGTTGAACCTAACTAGCTGCATCTGCAACAATCTACTTTCCAACGATGCATGCTGCATGATAGCAAGGCTGTTCACATCCCTGGTTGGTGGTCAGGGGGATCCTATTAGTGACTTCATCTAGATGTAGTTCCCCTCCACTTTTTTGTTTTAATTAACAAGTCAATTCCCCTTCACTTGTTTTTAAAAAACTGAAATAGCTTTAAAGTGGGACAAAGGGAGATCAAATGATATTACCTTTTGACCCAACTTCGTCTGCCATCATTCACTTTACAAAGCTCTCTACCTGATGTCAGGGTTACTTGATATCCCTCAGCCATGAACGGAGGGCATTCACTGAGGCTGAATCCACGTGTGCATCCTGAAAATGAAATTTGGGCTTCCACTGTCATCATAGCCTTCTGCAATCAGGTGTTCGCAATTTGAGATCTGATGCCATTCCCTCCTTTAGATTCGGGTGATTTTATTTGTAATCCTTGGTTCACACAGGCTGGTACGCTTCTTCCATCTGGACTTAGGTGACACCTCACTCACTTAGATGGCTTTGCTGTTGTTTTCTTAAGTGAGAATTTACGTAGTAAATCAGGTTCCCATTTGACAATTTCTATACCGCTTTTTCATTGACCTCGGTAGCATTTTTCACAATGAGTCACATTTTTCACAATTGTTTCACTGTACTCTGGGTTTCCCACTTCTAGTGCTCTAGCTGTCCTGCTCTATCCTTTCCAAGCCCGTTATCCAGAGGATAACCATGTTGGTTGGGTGATCTTCCAAAGGCAAGCTAGCAACTATAGAGTGGATTCTAAGTCATTGTACAAATATGCTCCCTGGGATTTTCATTGGCTGGCTTTTGAAACTAGATCACCAGGCCTTTCTTCCAAGGTGACTCGTGGGGGACTTGAACCTTCAACCTCTTGGTTCGCAGCCAAGCACTTAATTTTATTTATTTATTTAAACAGTTTTTTGGTTTGTTTGCTTTGTTTATAATTAATTGGGAGCTAATACATATATCATTCCATAGTTCAATCACATCAGGCAGAATAGCTAAAGTTTTATTGGCACTTTTCATCCACAATTCAATAGTTCAGTCACATTAAGAAGAGTTGTATAATCATTACCACAATAAATTTTAGAACATTTCTTCTTCCTTGTAATTAGTATAATTATTTTTTTAAATTGTGGTAAAAATGTACACAACTAAACATTCTCCAGTAGAACAACTACATATATAATTCGGCACCACTGATTATTCTCCTCATGTTGTGCAACTATTATTGATATCCTTTCCCCAATTATTCTACCACCATTAACATGAACTTAGGGCCCCTTTACGCTAGTTTATGCGAACTTAAACTCAGCAACAACTCTTCCTCCTTCCCCCATGGTAACCATTGGTCAACTTTGGTTTCTTTTTTGTAGTTTTCTTGACATAAAAGTCACATATCATACATTTCCATAGTTAAGTCGCTTTTAAATAGAGTAGTGGGCCAAGATGTTTAAAAAAAAAAGAGGGGGAAAAAAGTTGTATATACATCATCACAATCAGTTCTAGTACGACCCCCCAATTCCACATTGTTTGCTCCCCAATCCCCCTTACTGTCTCCACCCCCCCATAAACTGATGCATCAGTTATTGTCTCTAGCCACCCACTCCTGTGCTTCATAAACTGAAACCTAACAGACACAATGAAAAACAAAACTAAAATAAAACAGAAAGAAAAAATAATAATGTAAAGATAAAAATAAAGAGTGAAAAAGAAAAGACCACCAATAATAAAAAAGCCAGACAAGAAATTTCTCTCATGGAACAAGCGAGAAATATTTAAGCCTAGAGCAAATTCAGGTTGGGTCAAGAGGGAGGTCATCTCTGACCAAGTACTGTATTATACTGGGATCAATCCACCATCATCAAATTTACAATGATCTCTGATAGTAAAGCTGTTCGAGTCATTCACCTGTGGCCAGAGGGGATCTGAAGGAGGCTTAATCTGACTAGATACGCTCCAGATGGATTTTGGGTTCCCACCGTCCCCCATAGCCTTCTACAAATTGGGTGTTTGCAGTTTAAGCTCTGATACTTTTCCCTTCATCAGTTTTGGATTTTGTCATTGTCATCTTTGGATCACACAGGCAGGTGTGCTTCTTCCGTGTGGATTTACCTGATGCCTCACCTGGATAGCTGCTCGTTTGATTACAAGCCTTTATGACCCAAGACACTATTTCAGTTGATGACAGAGCACCATCTGCTTTCTTCACCACACTTTGCTGTAGCACCCTTAACTTCAGTGATCTCTTCATGAAGGTGAAGATAAAGTAGGGCCAAGTTATAAGAACAAAGTGCCCTTGCACTGGGGCTAGAATTAAGTGTGAGGCCAGAATCCATCTGCTTGTCCATGGGTTATGGACGATTCTGGTTTACTTTAGCAGTCATATAATGACAAAAACAAGCAACAACAAAACAAAAAAGAAAGACATTGTCGATCATCCCCTTGAAGTAGAAGGTGAATGCATTGATCACATCAATAATTTATTCAATGGCATAGAATTTAAGGTACTGTTCCTATGAGTTTAATGTGAGTATAGTCCAACTTCAAGCTGCAATCCTTGAGCTGTTGCTTTGTACAGATTTATTTCCTAATTGATTGGGCTCTGTTTACATTGAGAATTGGGGTTTGTTGCTGGGGGGAAATTTCCTGTAACATTCCTTACAAGGGCAGATCCTTTCCTACCCTAGCAGATTAATATCTGTCATGTGTAAGAGGAGCATTGAGATACTAAATATTGTGGTTCTGGGTCCCCTTTCATTGAAGGCCCACTAAGTCACGGGTCCCACCCAAGACCCAATGACAGCTATTTCCACCATCTTGGGTTGGCCGTCCTTTGCATTGTCTTCCATCAGGGAATTTCAGTCCTAAGTCCACAGGCTACAGTTAGCGTTGAGGTAGGGCCCAGTTCGTTCAGTCGGGCTTCCGGGTCGTGTCCTTCTGGGATCATCCTTGGAGGATGACATGTTCCCTGTAAGGCCATGTCTGAGGTCATCATAGAACAGACAAGCACTCTAACCCAGCATGTGAAGTACTTGTATTGCTTCATCTAGCTAACCGTCACTCTTGTTAAAATTAGCAATACCGCTTTCTTGAGGAAATTAAGCTTCCTAAACATTGCTTTCCTTGTTTACAAAAAGGGGTTCTACTAGTACCTAATTTGAAGGTCGTTATGATGGTCTCATGATAGAGTGCATACAGAGTCCTTAGGACAAGGCTGACCAATAAATAGTGTTCTCTACGTGTTAGTTTTTGTAACTTATGTAGCTATTATAGTTTATGCAGCCCTCTTCAGAAGCGATTTGATGGCAGTGAATTTGAGTCATATGTGAAATAGCCCTGGTGATACATTGGGATAATTGTGGGGCTTCTAACTACAAGGTTAGCAGTTCCAGCCCACCAATTGCTTCATAGGCGAAAGATGAGGTTGTCTGCTCCCGTAAATGTTTACAACCTCTGAAACTAAACCCACTGCCATCAAGTTGATTCTGACACGTCGCAACCATATAGGATATAGTAGAATTACCCCACCGAGGCTGTAAATCTTTATAAGCCATAAAGCATGATCTTCCTCCCACAGAGCCCCTGGTAGAGTCAAACTGCTGTGGACCTGGCAGTTAGTAGCCCACCTCGTTACCCACTACCCTTCCAGGGCTCCTCCAGAAGCCCAAAGGGCAGCCTCACTCTATGTCATATAGATGTGTGAGTCATTGTTAACTTGATGGCAGTGGGTTAGCCATAAGTGGCTGTTGAGCATTTAAAATAGGGTACATTTCATGGAACTTGATGAAGAATATATTGAGAAATAATAGCTTCATATTTTGATACTTTTACTTAATAAAGGTTTCTATGATTCTGTAGCAATATATATGTATACATTTTAATTTAATTAAAATGAGGTGACTCTGAACTGAGGTATAGCCTATGTCTACAATACACGCCGGATTCCAAAGACTTAGAACTGGAAGGGAAAAAAAGGATTGTAGAACTCATTAATAAACTACATATAGAGTTCTCATGTTGAGGTTAGAGTTGCCAGAGAAAAAGCAGGATGCCCAAATCAATCTGAAGTTTGTTTTATTTATATATATTTTTCAATCAGAATTTTAAATGAATGTCCATTTTTCTTAGTGCGAGTAAGTATGCCCCAACTATTACATGCAATGTACTTAAACACAGAAAAATTATTTATTGTTGGTCTGAAATTAAAATGTAATTGAAAACATAGTAAGGAACACAAATAATGACATTACATTGTACCTGTGAGGAATGTTGAAATGGCAAACGTTTTGTCACAGGTATTTTACACAATTAAAGAACATTTTTTGACAAATGGGTGCATAAGCAAATGTGGTGAAGAAAGCTGATGGTGCCCGGCTATCAAAAGATATAGTATCTGGTGTCTTAAAGGCTTGAAGGTAAACAAGTGTCCATCTAGCTCAGAAGCAACAAAGCCCACATGGAAGAAGCACATCAGCCTGTGTGATCACGAGGTGTCGAAGGGATCAGGTATCAGGCATCATCAAAACAAAAAGTCATATCATTGTGAATGAGGGGGAGTGTGGAGTGGGGACCCAAAGCCCATCTGTAGGCAACTGGACATCCTCTTACAGGAAGGTCGCAGGGAGGAGACAAGCCAGTCAGGGTACAGTGTAGCAACGATGAAACATACAACTTTCCTCTAGTTCCTAAATGCTTCCCCCACCCCCCCACCCCCCACTATCATGATCCCATTTAAAAAAACAACAGCAACATATTTTTTTGAAGCGGTCACCTGGAAAAAGAATTGGGTACCCTGTTTGGTAAAGTGGAAGGGTCACTGAAAAAGAGGAAGACCCTTAACCAGATGGATTGACAAAGTGGCTGCGACAATGGGCTCAGACATAACGGCAGTGAGCCTGGCACAGGACTGGGCAGTTCTTCTGTTGTACAAAGGTCACTACAATACGACTCAGAGCCGACCCAACGACACCGCACTGCAACACAAGCCCTGCCCATATTTTCCTTTGCTCCATCTGACAGCCTGACTTAAACGGCAATATTTTGGATCTATCGATTACATGAAATAGGTTACTATTAATCTCACCTGTTTGTCTTGACCTTGTATAAGCTACAAGAAAATTAAAACTTGCATACAGGCCTGTTGTAGAGTGCAGTTCTAGATGAAGAGTGATCTCTCTCTGATTATCTCCTGGGGTTGCATTCCTAAGCGTGAGATTGCAGGAGGGAAGGGCGAGCTCTAATGCTGTCTAGTCAATTCCAAGAACAAGCACCCTGGTGGCCCAACAGTGAAGCGTTCAACCAGCGACCTGGTGGCGGTTGGAACCCATTTAGCCATCTGCAGAAGGATTGGTAGTCTGACCCCTTACTCCTTGCAACCGAAGGGATTCTGGCCCCTAGCCACAGAGTAGAGTTGCTGCCGCATTTGCCTTCTCGCAGAGCGTCTGGTGGGTTCAAACCATCAACCCACTGACCTTTCAGTTAGCAGTCGGGCACATAACCACTGCAACAGCACGGCTCCTTTACAAGTTTTAGACCAGCAAGAAACTAAACCCATTGCCGTCACGCTAGGTTCGGACGCTTAGCGAATTTGTAAGACGGAGTCCTAAGGTGCCCTGGCTGTCATCCGTATGGAAACGGACTGCCGTATGGAGCGGCAGGCGTACTCGCAATTTTAAAAACTTAGCCACCCCACCCTATCATCACCCATTTTTCTCCCGAGACCAAGAAACGGAAAGTTGGCTTCTGGGGGCGTGGCTTGGTGAGGTGAGTGACATCTGGTTCCGTGGGCTGGGCCTTGTGGCTCCGCCCCCATCTCGCCTCACGGCTGGTCCCTTCTCTCATTGGCTAAGGCTGTGACCAAGGGGCGTGGGGGGGGGAATGACTGAGTTACTGCACACCGCCCCCTGTGACAACTATGCCTCCTGGAACCCTAGGGTCGTATTGATGTCGTCCTGTCTGAGTGTCGGGTGTAGTCCCTCCCCACCTCTAATGACACCACAGGTAGGAAGATGACAAAGAGCAGCTTGCTAAAGGTCAATGTCTTGTCGGGACTGTTGGATCGATTCTGACAGATAGGGATCCTATATGACAGAGTAGAATGCCCCTAGGTTCTGCTAGACTGTCGTCTTTACCCTGGGGATGCAGTGAACTGTTAACCTCAAAGTCGGCGGTTCAATGCTACCGGCCGCTGGTGGGAGATAGGTGAGTCTGTGTGCTCCCGTAAAGATGTATAGTCTTGGGAATAGTGAGCGGTCATTCTACTCGGTCCTGGACCACTGAGGCTCGTGGGTGCCAGTTAAACCAAAGCAAACATGTCATTCACATCCCATGCAAGTCACCCAATTAAAGTGGACCATGCCATGGGTCATAGTCTTATTCACAGAGTTGTGCTACCGTCCCCTTAATTTAAGTTCAGAACATTTTCTGTGATCCCCGTATTAGTAGTCACTTCCCATTCCCTTCCCTCTGTCTCTACGATTCTTCTTATTCTGGACATTTCTAGGTTGCTTTGGCCAGAGGCTGTTATGTTGGTTCCGGCTCA